GTCCTTCGGATGAGACGTAAAACCGAGGTCCTGACTCTCTGTGGTCATTAAAAATCCCAGGGCGTTTCTCGAAATGAGTAGGGGCGTCCTGGCCAAATTTCCCATTATCCCTTATCAATTATGTCCTCCTAATAATCCCCATCTCTGAACTGGCTTCATTACTCTGCTCTCCTCCCCACTGATAGCTGGTGTGTGGGGAGAGTACTGATGGACTGTGGCTGCAGTCGCATCATCCAGGTGGGGCTGCACACTGGTGGTGGCAGTGGGATTTCCTATTACCTGTAAAGCTCTTTGGGTGTCCATATAAGTGTATATATATGGCTATATAAGTGTAAGCAATTATAATTATTATTATTTAACATAAATTGAGACCTGCAGCAGCAGCAACAACAAGTTAAGGAGCAAGTCAGCACAAGCAGTGTGCACACTTTCCATAGCGCACCTGTAACATGTGGCAAGGACAGCTGAAGATGGAGCAACGGTGCAGTGGTCGGAGCCCGGTCTGTAGGATACTGTGACACGAGGCACTGAACACCCAGGGTGCAGAGCTCATGCCCTCCTGCCCCAGACCAGTCTTACAGCCCCAGGGTCTGTGGATCGACCCGGAGCCCCAGCAGGGAGTTCCCGGCCTCCACACATTGCGTTACCCCGCTTCCTGCAACACAGCAACACACACCCTGTCCATCGTGAGAAAGCACTTCAAACCAAAAAGTGTTGTAAATCCTTCACAAAATAAGTGCCTGGACCAAACTCCTCAAACCGTATCATAGAGTCCCAGCCCTCCTTCAGGAAAACAGCTGGATGGGATGAATGAACCCAATACAGTACCCACTAGCAAGCAAAAGAGGGAAAGGGGCCGAACGGGCCTTCTCTCACTTCCGCTTACGATTTCCTTTCGGAACTGCCAGACCTCCCGCTGCTCAAGGCACCAGGTAGGTGACCGGACCGTTTCTCCCGGCCACTGCGAGATCCTTCACGGCACAAACCCCGAACACACCGTCCCGCCCACGGCCGTATCCTCACCCGACTGCGCTTTGATCCAGGAGGCTGCTTTCATGGCCAGGATGACCCACTCGTCTCTGCAGTCCTGGTGGAGTCCGTGCAGCCACAGCAGAACCAGCACCGTGGCCCACACTCTGCTGCTGGGCGCCTGGGGGAGAGACACCGGGGAGCCCTGTCATCTCTCGGGCTCCAAGAGCGAGCCGGTCCCCAGGCTGAGCAGTTCGGAGATCGTCAAACCAAACGCTTGCAATCTGCAGTATTTCAGACATAGGACTGACTTCACTACCTTCAGCGGTTCCAGACTGGTGTGATTGAGTGTGCTGGTTGGAGATCATCTGTGTGACACAACACCACAGCTCACAAACAAGCAAGGTTTAAAAACACTCGTTATGGATCCGTGCGAACAAGTATCCACCACAGAAACAGAGCACAGCTCTTCAGTACCACCTGGAGCACCCTGCCCTTCACCGCTGTAGGTCATCACTTCATCACTGCACCCAGCAAGCAGGCTCACCCCGACCCAGACAACTGCTCTCGGCCTGATGAAGAAACACAGGCTGCTCACCTCCTTGAATGTACCAAATCGCTACTCAGAATTCAACACCACCCCAGCTTTGAAACACTTCAAGTGTGGTTAGCTAAATTACAAAAAATATTTATTTTTTTTTCCGCTTCTTCTGCAGACGGTCAAAGGAGATGATCATTTTAGACAGTGGATGTAGCGAGAAGGGCAGATAACTAAATGCAGTTCAGACACTTTCTCAGGGACTCATCCCTCATCAGCACAGCCATATAAAACCATAACAAAATCTCGTTTTCCAGCTTCACGCTGACATCAGGCGTCCACACTCTAGATGATTAATGACATCATACTTTTATGCCCCCGGACATAAGATTTATCTTTCATAAAAGCCAGGTTTTGTACATGACCAGTGTGATTCTACCTTCTATCGGTCTGGCTCTCAGTGCTCGGGTACCTTGGTAGGCCTGTTTCTTTCCACTTCTGCCTTTGAGTGCCCAAGAGTGGCAGCCAGCAGCTCCTCCAGATCCCAGGCCCCTTCTGCTCTCTGCAGTGTGATCAGCGTGAGCATGGCATCCCCTTGTTCCTCTGCTTCGGGGGTTGCTGAGTTAAGGCATCCCTTAAGTGCTGGAACAGTGCCATTAATTTCTAAAGAGGTAAATACCATCATAACACCCAGGAGCCCCTCACCTAGTGGATTTCTCAACCACAACACCCTCTTACCTGAAACGTTCAGCTTTAGTTTGTCTGCTAGTTTTCTACCAAGGGACGTACTGTCGGACTCCTCTGGTTTCTTTGCTAATGGATTTCAGAAAACAAGAAAAAATAAATCAAACTAAATTCAGGCTGGTTTAACAATGTCTACTCTTGAGAAAAAGTGACGAGTATGATTTACAAAATACATCCGGAACGCACCAGAAGAAGATTAAAATCAAATTCACATATGGTGTTATTTCAACCAACGTTGTATTACTATGATTTAAGTATAGAACTCTACACCTCTATTATTATAACAGAAATGAGGTTAAGAGTACTCTTCAAGTACACATTAAACTATTTAGAAACCACACCAATAATAGATTAAAAAAGAATTTTAAATTTGCTTGTCAGAAAGAAAATTAATTTTCCTGAAATCTGAACAAGATTGGCAGTTTAGTTTCAAGGTCAATGTAAAATATTTGCGATTCTCCTTTGGGAGCTCAGACTGTCTTAAAACCAGAAGGCAGGGTTGAAGCCATCATGCACACCTCCTCTAAACTGTACACTGTCAGCTCATCCTGGCCAAACCTCGGGCCTTCCTTATCGCGAGTCAGTCTGTGTCACTGCATCTCCCAGCAGCAGGGTTTCAAGTCCCTGGTCAGACTGGCAACCACTCAATCTCCTCTACTTGGTCATTGCAAGCAGAGTCTACAGACACACAGAAATGCAAGTGTAGGCCTGATTGAATGGGTTCACCCCTAGCGTCATCGGTATTACCATCATCCTGCTCTGTGATAACATACCTTCTGCTGCCTCCTCAAAGGAGATTGCAACTCCTTCAGCTGGTAAAGCAAAAAGAAAAAAAAGGACTAATTACTAAACCCCATTCACAGAATACAGAACTGCACCAATACAGTGTCTCGCTGCACAGCATCTGACTCAAGCGCATTACAATAGCAGAGCTCAGCCACTTCCTAAGTCACTTAGGAACCTTTGTGAGGGAGCATGGGGTTCTCACAACATGCAACAAACAGGAAACCCAGAGATACAGCCTCCTCTCCATCACACTCACATGTCCAGCGCACGTAGGACCTGAACGTTCTGATACATGGAAGTTTCTGCAGCGGCTGCTTGGTTTTTTTGTCGACCGCAATGAAGATGGTGAAGCCTGAGGCGACTCCTGTCTGAGCACCCAGCTCAACAAACTTCTTTCTCTGGCCACTGAGCTCATGCCGGCTCAAAGAATTTGCTTCTTCCTCT